CATCGACTTAGAAAAACGGATTCTAGTGTTAAAGCCATGGCAACTTAATTAGGTAATATTCAGGCAATTCTTTTGCAGGTTGCATTTAAGACAGGTGATTATAAACAGCAAGTTATTTTCATCGGTGGGCTGACAGACGGATTTTTAGCCACCGAGTATTGCTCTGACATCTGTAATTCAAAATATTGCTTATTATAAATGTCGTATCGAAATTTGTCCTCAACTAAATCGTTATAAATAATTCTCGAGATATTTGGAGCCTTTGGCGATTGCTTTGGAGAAGGAGCATTGGTCATTAGTGCAGTTTCTGTTTTCGTCTTCGTACAGTGGTTATGGCATCTCGAGCTTGAAACAAGTAAGTTCATATTATACGAACTTTGATCAATCGAAAAAAAAAGGGTTCTAATGATTTTCGGTAACGATTATTTTACGTTCTTTTTTCCTAAAAGATTATAACGGCTACATTATCTGTTTAAGGATGCTATGGAGATAGATCAATTGATTAGTTACTTTATTAACAAGGAAGAATCGGAAGGCGTGGTTCTACTTGGACACAGTACTGGTTGCCAAGTAATTAACGAGTTAATTAATACTCTAATTAATTAATTAACTACATTTAAATTAAATCACATTTTAATATGTAATTAGGACATTGTATATTACTTGCGCACAAATGCAGCATGTTCAAGGGCAGTTCGTGCAGCCATTTTGCAGGTAATTATATCCGTTTTTCAAAATAATTACCGAAAAACCAATCATATACAATGGTTGTAAATTTACATCTTTTTATTGTATATTTTTTTTTAAATATTATTTTTAGGCTCCGGTTAGTGATCGGGAATATAAATCCACACTTCCGAGAGCTGCTGAAATGATTGATTTGGCTTCGAAGATGATAAGTGAAGGCCGAGGGTCGGAATTGATGCCAAGGGAATCTAATCCAGATTCTCCTATTACTGCCTATAGGTTATAAAATCTGATATTATTTTTATTTATTATATATTTTTCATTTCAAGATCATTTTTTTTACATTTTTATAAAATTTTAATATCTCGAAGGTATCATTCGCTTTGTGCGTACAACGGTGACGATGACATGTTCAGTTCCGATTTTAGTGAAGACGAACTGAAACAGAGACTTGGCCACATGTCTACTACCCCTACGTTGGTAATATATTTAATTTTCATTAATTTGCAAAAATAAAAATAAATAATCATAATTTCTGAAATTTGTTTTCTTCGTGCAGGTAATGTTTTCCATGGCGGACGAAAATGTACCGGGATACGTAGACAAGAAAGCTCTGGTTAACAGGCAAGAACGGCCGAAACTTTTTTCGAATTCCGTTTTTGCCCTTAATTATGTTTGTAATTACGAGTCGCATTAATCGCAATTAATTAAGCAGATTGTGCAGAGCAATGGGTGGAGCAGAAAAGGTAGAAATAGAACATGGAATTCATTCTTTATCTAACAGAGTTGAAGAAGCTGTTAAATCTATTATGGAGATTATAAGAAGAGATGGTCCTAAAGGTTGGGAAGACCCTTGGAGTTAATAATTAATTAATTAATTTTATTATTTTTATTATTTTTTTATTATTAAAGTTCAATAAATTGGATTAGTATTATGATTTTTTGTTTAGTTGTATGAATTATAAAGTTCTTGATGAGTTGCCATTTTAATTTTTAAGTGGCTGTCACATGGAATATATATACATTGCATTTTTCCTTCATTATGTACGGTGTGCATGTGCAGTGCACGTGCATAATTGTTGATTAAGGGATTAATTAGCTTAAACTAGTAATTAGTATTTTAATAATTGGATTTTCTGCTCTTTCTGTTTTTACAGAGTATATTTGGAACTTGTCATTGTTCTTGGTGTTAATAATATTTTTTGTTGTTGTATAAGGCTTCGTTTAGTTGACAAAATAAGATAATATTAAGTAATTTGATAAAACTTAATTATATTAATGGACATTCGACGATTCAATATATTTAGAAGGCAATATAAATCTTAACATAATATCTACTGATGGAATGAAACCCAATTATTTATTTAACCATGTTTATATGTTCAACCAAACGAGTAGTTATGTAATTATGTGACCATAACTCTTTCGAATTGACATATATTTAATGATGGTTGGCAAATATATATCCAAATATCATTTATTCTGACCACATGTCTGCATGATCTGTGTCTATTATTCCCTATATTCAGTGTCGGTGTTACACTATGGAATAATTAAATTTTTTTTTTTTAATAATAAATTTAACATTTTTTTATATAATACAATTAACATACATGAGTTGACACGTGTTAATGATAGTACAATATGCTAGAACATCAAATACAATCTTAGAGGATCCAATTAATTTATATGATCTCACTAATGGTGCAAAAGCCACTATTAGTAAATTGAAGCTCGGATTTTTCGACTTTAAACATTATTTTGACCACTTTTTAGTTTGAATTTGGAAAAACTCAAAACACTAAATTTGTAGTTTTTCAAGTTAGCTTTTTAATACAACTTAAATCACCAAGATTGGATGTTAAGTGAGAAAGATATGCATGAATCAATTAACGTTGCCCACTACTTTGATATTTTAAAGTATCTAAAATTCAAAACGTAACATATTCATGCATAACTTTATCACATGACATTCAGTCTAACTGATTCAAGGTGAACTAAAAATCTACCTCAAAGAACTACGGTTTTCGTGTTTCGAATTTTGTCAAAATCAAACTAAAAAATGGTCAAAATCACCTTCGAAGTTAAAAACAACATTAGTAAAATTGAAACGACATTTAACATCTCAGTTTCGATAATTATTATTGAGTTCCTAGTTCCTACTTTGCTGATATACACACTTAACTGTTCTTAATAATATACAATTGAGCATGTTTGACTTCAATTCATAAAGTCAAACGTTCTTTTTAATTTATTGATAATCAAATTAGTGATAACATGGATATATATAGTGCTATGATCATGTCACTAACGTGCATTAAAATAAATATTTGACCATTGATATAACCTCATCATTTCTTCAATTATTGTTAATTATATAAATATATAAATATATATAGAAATAAAAATAGTAAAATTAATCTCTCTCTCTCTCTCTCTCTCTCTCTCTCTCTCTCTCTCTCTCTCTCTATATATCATTCTCTCTCTACAAATAGGTAGCACAAACATGTGCCTGCTGCTCCTCCGCATATTTCTCAGAGGAGAGAGAGAGAGAGGAAGAGAGAGAGGAGAGAGAGGGAGAGAAAGACATTCTTTCTCCTGCAACAACAAACAATTTGTAAATTTGCAACATTTCGAAGCAAACCAGGTAAATTCTTTTATACAACAATCGCATTGTTTTTTATTTCTTCAAGAAAAAAAAAAACATTTAATTCCAATTTGTCCTAACTTAGGTTCATTATAATTTAATCAATAGGTGATTGTGTGTTTTTTTTTTCTCCCTTTGGTCGGAAAAACTCTCTCTCCTCTCAAGATGCCGGAAAAAGCTCCGAACTTTGCATGGTTTTTCCGGCCGCCGACAAACCCCATGGTGCATTGGTGGTTCAAATTTATGATATTTGGGGCTTTTCTTGGAATATTGATTTTTTGGGGGATCGATGGGTTAAATATCAACACTTTCCAGAAGGATTTCGTTGTAGTGAAGCTCAACAACAATTCCGAAACTTTGTCACAATCCAATAAAGATTCGAACTTTACCACCACTACTCCCTCCTTCCCTACCCGCCAAAAAAATATTTCCAATTCAACCCCTCAAGTTTCAGAAAATTACACAAAGGACCATAGTAGTTGGATTCTTTCCGAGTTAGAGGCAAATTACTCATCGAATCTTCTTTCGAAATGGTTAACCCCAGGTGGTGAGCCGTGTAAGGATTCAAGAACAGTTGAAATCAAAGTTCCGAGCTTCGATGGTAATGATAAAGACATCGAGCTGTCGACCGGTGAAATCCACGAGTTCGTTTTCCATGCATTGGATGACTCGGGGGCCCCACATTGTCTAGGTGGCGACTACTTCGAAATCGACCTCTCGGGCGAGAAATGGAAGTCTAGGCCTCCGGTGAAAGACGTCGGAAACGGGACCCACGCGTTTTCCCTCCAAGTGCACCCCGATTTTTCGGGCGACTACAATTTGACCATCATCCTATTGTTCCGCCACTACGAAGGGCTTAAATTCTCCCCCGAGAGATTCGCGTTCGACAAGATTCTCCGTGTGATTCCGATAAGATTCCTCAAATCCGAATCCCAGCTACCCGCGATAAATCAATGCAGGAGTTTCGATTACTCCAAGGATGTTTGGTCCGGGCGGTGGACCCGACACAGCAAGAACGACAGCTGTCCGATTAGTGACGACGGTCGGTATAGATGCCAAGAGCCGGGTTTTTCTTGCCCCGCCCAATGGTGCAACGGTCCGTTAGGGTTGCTCGAGAGTAACGGGTGGGTATATTCGACCCATTGCTCGTTCAAATTTTTCTCGCCCGACGAAGCGTGGGGTTGTTTGACCAATCGGTGGATCTTTTGGTGGGGAGATTCCAACCATTGCGACACGATCCGGAACATTCTAAACTTCGTATTGGACGTGCACGACATCCCCGCAGTTCCGAGAAGATTCGATATGAACATCACAAACCCTAGAAACCCTACGCAGACGGTCCGATTCACGAGCATTTTCAATGGCCATCCGAACGACACCGGAAATTATCAGGGTTTGAACTCGTTGGTCAATCCGGAGTATCAAGAATTACTAAAAGGGTATTTTTCGGGAAATGTGGTCCCGGACACTATTATAATGAATTCGGGCTTGCACGACGGTGTGTATTGGCCGAATATTCGGAATTTTATCAGGGGAGCCGATTTCGCGGCCTCGTTTTGGGCAAGTGTAGTGGAAGGAGTACGGAGGAGGGGGCTTGCGCCCCCCGAGATTATATATAGGACCACGGTGGCAACGGGTGGGTACGCTAGACGACTTGCGTTTAATCCTCAAAAAATGGAGGCTTTCAACGGGGTCGTTTTGGATAAGATGAGGAAATATGGGGCGCTCGGAAAAGTGATCGACGATTTCGACATGACTTATCCGTGGCATTACGATAATCGATGCAACGACGGGGTCCACTACGGGCGGGCCCCGCTGAAGATGAAGTGGAGGGATGGGGAGATTGGTCACCAATACTTTGTTGACCTTATGCTTTGTCACGTGCTGTTTAATGCAATGTGTGTGAAATAATTGTGAATTTGTATTTTTTTTTGTAAATGTAACACAATTATTGAGCTGTCACATGATATTTTGATAGGGACAAATTAGAAGCAAATTTTTGTTAGCCCAATTCTTTGAGGTGTATATATATGTATATATATGGGCATATGTTGTATAGATATTTAATTTTATTACATATATTACATAGTTTTTTTTCAGGCATTGTTTTGTCAGATGGGAAATTGTTGAATTATTTAACAATTTGGGCCTAATTGTTTATAATTCAACAATTTGGGCGTAACTCAAGAAAGAAAGAAAATTACGTTTTCCAATTTTGAGGCCCAATCTAAGAAATAAAATTTGGGCCGGAGATTGGATTTCAAACATAAGATAAAACAAACGACAAATTTAAACATAAGATCTCGCTAACATAACAAATGTATGTCAGGATAATAGTAATCGGATTGTATTTCTGTCATCGCACCACAAATGCAATAATACAAAAACGACTAGCAGCGATAAACAACAAAATGACCAAAAAGAATTAAGACCACTTCATTATCGACTAGGATCTCACCGTCAAAACGATGTATAACCAGCAACGAAACATCACATGCGTGAACTCATATTCAATTTACATGAAAATCGAACTATTACACTAATCGAACCGGGAATTCCTATCATGACACCACAAACGGTCAAATCGAACAAAAAACTCACAAATTCAGCAGCGAAGTGAGGGATACCCAACAATGAAGCACTTAGCATAACAAAACGGACGTGGTTAAAACAAGAGACTTATTTCTTATATAAATAATAAATGTAACCAAAAGGGTATTTACGTAATTTCACCTCGTATCTATGCACATCACGTGTAAGAAAAGATAAACAAAACCGATCACAAATCACAATCACAGGAAAAAACTATAAAATTCAATTTTTCACACCAAACGCGGCTTAAAGAGCAAAAAAACATCATCAGCAAGAAAGAAAACCCCACCCCCAATTTGCAAAATTGGCAATAAAAAGATCACTGTGCGGGAATCACTTTGATCTTTCAACCCAAACCCAAATGGGGTAAAATCCGTAATCCAGATAAAGGGGTTTTTTTTTCAGGGTGTTCGACAGATTAATTTTAATTTTCCTCCTCCCCTCCCCCCCCCCAATTCAATCTGGCAAATTTAGGGGGGATTAATTTGAGGCCTCGCTTGTCGTTGAAGCAAGCTTTACCAGAGGACCCAGACGAAGAAGAAGCGTGTCGGCCGTGGCGCAAGAAGATCTTGTTTTTCTCACCTCATTCGGTAATAATGGCGTTCAAATTCAGTTGGGTTTCTCTGATGAAAATCTCGCTGTTTCTGTTGCTGATTGGTGCAATTGTGATTGCTTGCTTCACTCTCCCGATGAAAAGGTTATACGTCGTCGTTTTTTGATCCGTTTGTTGCTTGTTTTTTTAGGGTTTTGGTTTTGTATTGGAGAATTTGGGGTTTTTTATTTATTTATTTATTTTGTGCCTAATTTTGTTATTGGGTGATGTGTTCTTAATTTCTATAGATGCTTTTTGAGTAGTTTATTAGCAATTTAGTATTTTTCGAGCTAAATTCAAGCGAAAAACGTCTTCGTCTAAGCTTTATTCGAACTAGAAGGGCTGTAAAAGTTTATTAGCAATTTAGTATTTGAACTGGTTTCGGTTGTACGTTTCGAAAAATTCATCACTTGAAAAATTCATGCTTAAAATGCGTGACGAATTATTATATTGTAGTTACGAAAGATTGTATCTCTTATCAGTTTAAGGGTGTTCGTTCCTACAGATATTGAAGGATTTCTTATTATGGATCGAGAAAGATCTTGGTCCGTGGGGCCCACTAGTGCTGTAAGTGCGGTTTTTTTTTTATGTTTATTTAACGAACGATGTATTAAGTTGTTTCGATTTCACTCGTAAGTTTCGAATCTTGCAGAGCTCTTGCATACATTCCTTTAACCGTGTTGGCTGTTCCAGCTTCAGTACTTACGGTAAATAATCATCTCTGTTTATTTATTTTTTTGTAAATATTTCTTCGACCGTACCTTTCATGTAATGTAAACTGAATTGCTCGACTTTTTAATTCATAAAAAGTTTCAATCGTTTAATTCCTATTTGAACTGAAATATGTTTTTTCCAGCTCGGTGGTGGATATCTCTTTGGCTTGCCCGTGGGTTTTGTTGCCGATTCTATTGGTGCAACAATTGGTGCTGGAGCTGCATTTCTCCTCGGTCGAACAGTGAGTTTCTTTTTAATCGAATATCATTATATATTTTCTTGAAAAAACGGTTACGGTATTTCTATTTCTTATTCAATTGTTCTCTTTTCAAATATAAATAGATCGGAAGGTCGTATGTTATTTCCAAGTTAAAAGACTACCCTAAGTTCCGCGCTATCGCGATTGCAATTCAGCGATCTGGATTTAAGGTGTGTGTGTGTGTGTGTGTGTGTGTGTGTATATATATATTTACAATTTAGTATTTTTTATTTGTTTTATATGAATCCGAATTTATATTATGGCGTTTGAACAGATTGTACTGCTGCTTAGGCTTGTACCTTTACTTCCGTTTACCATGTTGACTTATCTCTTATCGGTGACACCGGTACCTATAGCTCTATACATGCTAGCTTCGTGCTTGGGTATGATGGTACGTATACACGTCGTTTAATAAATCTCTTTCTGATGCCATATTCACTGAATATCTGCTTACGTTGTTGTTCTTTATTCAGCCAATTACTTTTGCGTTGGTCTATGTTGGGACAACTTTAAAGGATCTTTCCGATGTTACACATGGATGGCACGACTTCTCAAAAACCCGATGGGTAAGAATTTTTGTTTTTGTTTTTGTTTTTGTTTTTTTAAATCTTGTTTTCAATTGTTCGACGATCGCATTTTACCCTTCATATATATATATATATATATATATATATATATATATATTTGTTTTACATATGAACATCGATCATTATAATTTTTTTGACAGTGGTCTTTATTTTAACGCAGGCATTTATTCTAATGGGTCTCGTGGTATCCGGTAAGTTCCGATTGACTTCACTAACTATTTCGATTCCAAGAAATAAGTAACAGAGAATCGGACATATATTTGCTGTTTTGTGCACTGACGTTTAATGTAATGGAACTTCTTCTTCTTGCAGTGGTGTTACTGGTTTGTGTTACTAGGGTTGCAAAGGCTGCTTTAGAGAAAGCATTGGCCGAAAACGAGGATACAGATATCGATATTCTTTCGCCGCAATTACCGGTTAAGGCGGGCCCCACTCTAAATCTCCACGAGCCGCTTATAATAAGGATCGATTCCCCTCAAGACAATCACGAGAAATAGTTTTTTTTTGTTGAAGTGTAAATTCTTTACTCGTTTTCTAATCGGCTTCTTTTCCAAGCGATGCTTGATATTCCATCTGTACAGCCGATTTTTTAATTTTTTTTTTGCGATATATATAGTCTAGCTATATTTTACACCATATTGAGATAGTCATAGATATAACTTATAAGTTCAATAAAGCAACAAATTTTACTTCTTGAATAGTGACATTTCTATAAGTTCTTGATTGCTGGTTTTATTCGTGGATTCTTGATTTAGCAAGTGGAATTGCAGGAACTGTACAAGAATGAACTGGAGAGGAACTATCTTCTCTGTTCAACTTTTTTTTTTTTTTTTTTTTTTTTTTTTTGTGCTTCCACAGAAAGTTACTACCCAATTTCTGTTAAAAATCAGACATGTTTGCAGAGATAACCTAAATAAATAAATAAAAATTGTGTATCTACCTAAATGGATGGTGTGTATATTTGGACCACCATGAACAAGCTACATAATTCACACACACCCACGTGGGTGTGTGTGTGTAAATTGGGATGGAAAAGAAGATGAAATTCCTTCAAACTTGAAAGAAAAGTAAACATAAAAGCATTAGTACAATGATGAAACCATGTTTTGTGCGGGCACTGTAATCATTTCATTTCCATTCTTAATCCAACGTAGGGAAAAAAGAAAGGGTAAATTACGGTCAACCCCTGAGCTAAGGTAAAATTACGAAAATACCCCTCATGTTTGGGTAATTACAATTACCCCTCAATTATGAATTTTTTTACACGTCCACCCTTATGGTGTCAAATTCAATGGAATCTTCAAGATTTTGGTGGAATGTTTTCTAGTTTGTACTCGTTTTGTGCAAAAATGTAGTTTCTGATGCACCACGATCTGATATTACAAGACAATAAACACATCTTATGATCACCTTATTTCAAAATGTGGAGCTCGAATGGTGTAAAACGGGTACAAATTGGAGAATATTCCACATAATGTAGAAGATTCCACTAAATTTGACATCGCAAGGGTGTACGTGTAAGAAGATTCATAGCTGAAGGGAGGTGGATGTAATTATCCAAACATGAGGGATTTTTTTTATAATTTAACCTCACCAGAGGGGTGTGGCCGTAATTTACCATTTTTATTTTTTCCGGTGGGTCCCACACAGAAAATTCCTTGCCTCAAAGAACTCAACATTCTCACCAGCTATTTAAGTACACACTCTCTTACAACAACAATAAACATCAGAAGAAAAAAAAAAGAATGTGGTATTTCAGGTTTTTTATTTCACTATCGAGATGCTTCAACGGATGCAGCGACCGCGCTCAAATATCGGGGCCCGGAACGAGGATATGGAACACGAGCGACAAGCCGATCGAGCTGCAGATAAGAGTCGGATCGATGCTGAAGAAAGTCCACACGGTGAAACCAGGGTGTTCGAAGAGATTGAAGGGCAAGAATATTTACAGGGCTTACATGCCTGGAAAAACTAGTAATGCTGGAATGAGAAACCTGGTTTATTACTATGATGACACGTGTCACCCATACATATGGATACATGATACAGGGTGTGATTTCTCCAGGACCAGGATGGTGAAGCAGCAGTATATCAGCCTTGATGATTTGAGGGATTCTTCTGAAATCAGGGTTTTTAGGGATCTTCTCAGGGGATCTATTTCTGTCACCAAGAAATCCAGGCCTGATTTTTGCTGATTTTTCTATATACATTTATATATTTTATGAAATTTACAGTCTGTAATAATTTCACATTTGGTCCCCATGTTCTCAAAAAGCACATTTGGTCATTTTCATTAATTTAGCGTCAGTCCGTCACTTGCGGTAGTGATGGGCACACGTTTGATTCCGTTAGTTTTAATGGAAATTGACATAAAGGACTAGAAGTGTTGAATTTTTGAGACATGAGGGACCAAACGTGAAATCGGTGCAAACTTGAGGGATGGAAACTGTAATTTTTCCATTTTTTTTTTTTGGAATTTCGAATGTGTAT